TCCCAACTCCCAACTCCCGCTTCCCGTTTCATGATCCCGGCTCAGTTGCTGCGTCGCTTTTGTCTGCATTGTTTCAGTCAATAGACGCATTTGTGCGGGTCAGTTTGACAAAAAGAAAGCCCTGTCCGAACCCAAACAAAAACCCCTTTTACTCAGTCCCTGTGTTCCCCCTTTTCTTTTTGCCCCTTTTCCTGCTGCTGGCCGCACATAATTAGATTTAATTTGCAGCACGGTACGATGCAAGTTTAGAGTCAACTTCTCCGTTGCATGCAATTTTAATGCATAAATTATGCTCGACAACGAAGCAATTTAGTGGCATAAACCTGGTAGCTTAATCCGCTGCTGAGTGTGCGTGTGTGCATAAAGTTGGACCTTTAAAACCGGTTAATGAGTTAGAGTTCCTAATGGATTACACCCAGCCCTGCGTTTTGATAATGGATTAGAGGGCTTAAGGATTTATTTTAATGCTAGTGTGTGAGAGAGTGACTTTGTAAGTTTTCTCTACAAGTCAAACATTTATTTCCTATGAAGCTTGGAAGTTCCATAGTTTTTCCTTTTTCGTTGAAATATTCAACTCTCTAGACTTCAATGCACTTCTCTTATCTTTCATGATGACGCATAAATCAGTAAAAATCAACCCGATTACTTAAACCCCACTTGACCATAATAAGATCCATAAAGATTGTACACCTCTTTGAGGCTCACTTAAACAACCTTTTAGCGCAATTTTAAAACCAAGGGCGAGAATTTATAGACCATCCATTTTCCATTTACTTACGAGGGGCATCATAATGCCGTCCATCGCGGCTAAACGATAAACCCTCTTGGCTTTCCCCGGTTTCTATATTAATATGTACACAATAATTATTCCCCGGATGGATTACAATGTGAACTTGGCCAGAAACAGCAGCAGTTGGAAACGCAAAGCAAACGGAACGCGAAGAAAAAATTGTTCAACTGTGTGGCGTAATGTTGTTGAACTCCCTGAGAGGTTGAAAATGGGAGGTTGGAGGTTGAAGTTCGGAGGTCGGAAGTTGGAAGTTGGAGGTCGGAGGTCGTCGAGCAGCGAAGTCAAGCGCAGCGAAATGGACACGAAACAATGCCTGGCCACTGACCATCTGACCCACTGGTCGGCGGCAAAACCACCGCAAATACCACCGCGGTGGTTTTCCGGGCTACTTAGACTCCGGTTCTTTACCTTGAGACCGGTGAATTCATGCATTCGTTGTTTACTTGTGGGAGCCTGGTACCCTGGGTTCCTGGTTCCATGGCTACCCGGACACACGCACTTAATTAAGGGAAAGCGGTTTTTTTTTCTTATTTCCTGAACTTTCCGTTCACGCCCCGCACTTTTTCAATTTCCTGTCAGTGGCTTCAAAAATAGTGCAGCATACTTTTGGATGTCCTTGCCACAGACAGATACAAAATTATTTCGGGTGTGAAGATGAAAGTGAAAAGATTGGTCAAAAAATATGTCTTCAAAAATAGGGGGAAAACAAATTGAAATTATTTCTAGAAAATACTGAGTATATACTATACTTGCAGATACCTATAGTTTATTTTTGCAGCTTAAATTATCAAGGATAAATATATTTTTTTTATGCCTCGTTTACTCAAAATCTAGTTGCAAGTGTAATTTACATAGCAAGCAAACTTGAAATCCCGACCCCATAACATCTCCATTTGCTTTTCTGCTGCAGATATTTTCTTAGTGCTAACCGGAAATTGTGCTTATGCAATTGCACAAGTTCCTTTCGAAATCCGGCAGAGGTCAGTACGTCGAAAAGGACGAAAAAAAAAAGAAATGTCAGAAAAGCTGTCGAATGGGGAAATCCCCAAAGAAAACGGTGACTTCAACTTCACTCTGGAGTTGAGCTCTAGACAATGCAGTGTAATTTGCTGAAATGTTAAACAAAACGTAATAACTGGGAGTCGACAATGTCGTTGGCACATTGAGAAAAATCATATATATGTTTCTAATATGTAAATATAATTTATTTTGTATGTACGGTTTTACTGTGTTTAGTGTTTTCATAATGGGTATTGGTTTTAAATTTCAGTTTTGTATTTGAAAAGCACGAACAAGAAAACAAAATGATTTTTTGTTTGTAAATTTTAAAATATACTTTCGAAATTTTCCCTTAGTGCATCCATGCGTTTCTTTGGGGCTTCGTTCCGTTTTTTTCCGATCTCTTGTTTTTCTTATTTTTTTTCCCTTTCTACTAGCCTTTTTCAACAGCAATAAAAGTCGATTGTCAACGTTGACTGGCATTCTCGGAGCAAGTGAATATGTAGCGAATATTCAGACTAGTATCCTGGAAGGATTCAACTTGCTCCTGGTCGAGTGATTTTCAGGTATTCAGCAGCTAGGTCCGAGGTCCTTTTGCCAAACTGCAGTTTTGCCCATCACTTAACATTCTCTAATGTCGGCAGTCTAAGGCAGAAAAGATATGGAATTGTAGAGAATGGTGTGAGAAAGTCGGATGCTATGCAGAAATCAAAATGCTTCATAAAACGGAAATGAAAACAAATGAAAAATGATTTTTACTTATGGGCAAATTGTGCCTCGGCACTTCCAATCTCAATTCCTGGCCAGCCATTGTTGCATAGTTCGTGCAGCAAGTGCTTGTTGCAAATAAATTGCATTTGCACTTAAAGCATCGTCCATGTGGCAGCTGTTGCCACTCGTTGTTCGGCCCTCCGGATAATTTCTTTCATCCATGGTAGTCAGACATGTGTGGGTTGTTTGTAGGTTGGGAAAAATACACGACAAGGTAAGCCTGATTAATGTTGTTCAGGCTTTTCCACTGACGAGACCAGTCGAATAAAGGCCAAGAGCATTTAGTGCACAAAAGAGATAAAGCCAAGTGTTTCCTTTTCAGGCAGTATCCCAGCAGTTAAGATTTCAGTCTGTTAGTGTGGCAGCTTAAGTACTAATTTATCGCTTTGTTAGATGGGCAAACTGCATTTGTCGAGAACAAATTTACGATTACTAACTAAACTAACATAATTGATTTTAGTTTAAGAAACTAATTTATTGGAAGATTAATGGTGAATAAAAAGAGTTAATGATTTGAATAATCCCACGAAAATATAAACCTCTTGCAAAGATACTGGTAAACTCTTCCTTTTTCTATATGCACACTTACACTTCACAATTAAGAAGGACCTCTTCTCGGGAATATCCGTTGAAAAGTGAACAGCCTGCTGTTGACCTTTTCTTAACCCCGGATCAGTTGTTGACTCGCCACGAACTTGAGCCGACCCCATCCACGCCGAGATGATGATGAACCCAATACAATAGGGCACCAGAAACCACAAGATGGCCCACTTGTAGAGTTCTCGCCTTACACATGCCCTTTATTAAAAAATTAAAATTGCTAACCGAAGAATGGGAAAAAAAGAGGTGGTTATTTCGCCAGCCTTTTGGCCTTTTTTAGGTATCACTTTTTTTTTTAGCTAAAATAATCAGGCAACTTAATTGAATCAAGTTGCAAGGCGATCCGGGGCCAACCAAAGGAAAAGCCTCATAATAAACGGCAAAGGAAATGGCCACAGAAAGGAGGGGCTAAAGAGCTCAGAGGGTTGGAGACCCACAAAAAAAAAAAAAACAAAAAAGGTGAAGACAAAGTGGGGGAAAAGATGGTATTGGGTTGGATGAAAGGAGTAAACAAGGACTAAGGAGTGAAAATGTGCGCAAGAAAGCAAATAAATTGAAGTGAAAACAAATAGCCGGGGATGTGGAGGTGGTGGTGGTTGTCCTGGTCCTGGTTGGTTATAAAGGAGTTCCACTGTGGGGTTTCGGAGTTTCGGAAAGGTCCAACTGGCGGACATTCCGTCAGAAGCCCACAATAAGAACTCCACCTTATTTATAAATTAACAGTAACAATTTTTCCCGCCGGACATACACTTAAAAATTTTCGTGCATAAAAGTTTAATATTTCAGGCCCACTCACTTTACATTTTCTCCTCATTTTTGTTTCCTTTCTCCTGTTTTCACTCTACTTATTTTCATTCTTGTTGTTCTTTGTCTGGCTGTGTGTGTGTGTGTGTGGATGTGCGGGTGTGTGCTTTGTTCCGGGAAAAAGGAAGCTCCGGACATGGTCCTTTGCCGTCGCTTAAGCAAATAATTTCTTTTCTTAGGCAGCTCTTTGGCCTTTATGCTTCGCCGAGTTTCCCCACCTCCACCGGCGTAAATTCCCAACTGGCCAGCTGCATTGGTACTCGTTTTGAGCCCTTTTCTCGTCTTTCGGCGATGCTCCCTGTTGTGCGTTTTGTTTTTAGTTGCCTGCTCCGCTTGTTTGGCCTGCACTTCTCACGCACATTCTTCGGGGAATTTGCCCAGCACTCAGTCCAGCGGATTCGGATTCCGCTCCACGGGAAGATCTTTAAAAGCCCGCGGGGAGTTTGCCAACCTTAAGTAGTTTGCACAAATTGGGGAATTAATATCGGAAAAAGAAAACAGTGGTTTTTATGCTGTATATAAATTACATAAATACCGATATCAGAATCATAAACATAACATAAAACAAAAACATAATCTTAGCGGTTTATAAATACCCAAAAATATCATAAAGCATCGTAAAGTTTAACCTCATCTGTTTTAGCGATGATGCTTGCTACACCTTTTTTTGCAAGTTGTTTCAAAGTCTTTGGCCATCTTTAAAAAAAAAGTGAAATAGTTTGTCTAGCGCTATAAAGCGCTATTTCATAAGCAAACCTACTGGAATCAATAAAGATAATAATGGTTGGGGTGATTGCCGGACGAATGAAATGTCGAGCATGGACTACCCTAACCGAGGGTTCACTCTTGAAAGTCGATTGTCTCTCTTTATTAAGTAACGCCGATGAAAATGCAAATGCTAAATGCCCTTTATCACCGTGAATGGGCGGTATTTGCTGCTTGAAAAAGCTCTCTCATTTACTATCATCAAAAGCTAAGCGCATATGTATATGTATATATATAAGGGAAAGCTTGACCGATCTGCTTAATTAGTCGCTGCAAGAGACTCGTTCGGTAATCATGAGAGTATTGGCTGTGATAGCGATCGTGTTTTGCGCTTTGGGCGCCAAGCCGCTCGAAACAGAAAGTGCGAAGATTTTGGCTACACTGCCGTTTCCGGGTCGATCTCAGTACATTTTTGTGGAGACCTACTTGAAAGCCCTGGCAGCTAGGGGTCACCAGGTGACTGTTATTAATACCTTTAAGAACAAGGAGACGCCAAACATGCGCTTCATTGAGGCCCTCAAAGCGCATGACTACGCAGAAGGTATGCATTGATATTGCCTAATGACATTGTTTTGTATTTATAAATCTGTTTACCCACAGAGATGATGAATTTGCTAAATGTGCCACTATTGTGGCAGCAGCTCAATGCCATGGATTACATATTGGACAAATTCATCGAGACTACACTGGAAGACGAGGGTGTGAAGAAGCTGATAAATTCTGGGGAAACTTTTGATCTGGTGCTGGCGGAGATGGTCCAAATGGAACCGCTGTACGGTTTGGCTCAGCATTTCAATGCCACCTTGGTAGGATTCTCCAGCTATGGAACTGATAGGAGAATTGATGAGGCTGCTGGAAATATATCACCCATATCATATAACCCCTTAGTGACATCTCCGCGAACCGATCGGATGACCTTTCTGGAGCGCTTGGAAAACCACCATGATGTTATTGTGGAGGACATTCATCGGCACGTAGTTCACCTGCCACATATGAGGAAGGTATACAAAAAGTATTTCCCGAACGCAAAGAAAACCATGGAGGAAGTTATGGACAGTTTTACGTTGATTCTGCTGGGTCAGCACTTTTCCTTGAGCTATCCGCGACCCTATTTGCCCAACATGATTGAGGTTGGAGGAATGCAAATCTCGCACACACCGAAACCGCTGCCAGAAGACATTAAACAGTTTATTGAGGGTTCGCCACATGGTGTTATATACTTCTCCATGGGCTCCAATGTGAAGAGCAAGGATCTGCCAAAGGAAACTCGAGATACGCTGCTGAAAACCTTTGCCAAATTGAAGCAGCGAGTGCTGTGGAAATTCGAAGATGACGAAATGCCCGGAAAGCCAGCAAATGTGCTGATCAAGAAATGGTTTCCCCAGCCGGATATTCTGGCCCATCCGAATGTGAAGTTGTTCATCAGTCACGGTGGTCTGCTGAGCAGCACCGAAAGCGTTTACTTTGGCAAACCCATACTGGGATTGCCGTGCTTCTATGATCAGCACATGAATGTGCAGCGTGCCCAGCGAATGGGATTCGGATTGGGCTTGGATCTGAACAACCTGAAGCAAGAGGATCTGGAAAAGACCATCCAAACACTGCTCACTGATCCAAGTTATGCCAAAGCATCCTCAGCCATTTCCGAGCGGTATCGTGATCAACCGCAATCAGCTGTCGATCGAGCTGTCTGGTGGACGGAATATGTAATCAGGCACAATGGTGCTCCCCACCTGCGAGCAACTTCCCGGGATCTCAACATCATTCAACTCCACAGCTTGGACACTTTGGCTGTGATTGTGGCAGTACCTCTACTAGTCGCCCTGATAATCCTAAAGTTATCTTGCAAATTAATGGGGGGCAAGAAACAAAAGTGCCCACATGCTGATAAGCCCAAGAAGCATTAGAGGGTATTTGTTGTTTATAGTTTTTAAAACAGGGCTATCTTATAAGTCTTATCTTATGAAATTATATTTTTTATTGCCAAATGTTGGTTGTCATTCCAAGGGACTGACGTTTCTAAAACTTGTTACAGGGGAACACCATTGCCGGCCGGCATTTTTTTTCATCAATCTATCAAGTGCTATCAGTTGACCAGCTGTGGGAATGTTTTTGTTTGAGTTTGCTGTTGATAACGCTCGGTTAAAAAACAGGTTTTAGCTTACATAGTGGAAATAATTAACTTATCAATTTGTATATAAGTTGAAATGACGACCAAATAGTTGCAATTTAAATACTTCCCATAATTACTAGCTTTGTCCCAGCAAAAATACCAAGCAATCTTATTTTTCTGTACTTTTCATTCAAAACACAAACGTTATATTTGTTTACATTCTAGGCATGCATGCCAATAGAATTATTATTGTTATGCATATAAATTACATCGTCTTAATTGCAATGAGATTGTATCAGAGCGTGGCCTTGAGCAATTTCATATTAATAAAGTCAGCTTGCACATCGTCCAACACGACGTATGAGTGATATTTATTAATTAGTTTTCTTCTATTCCCCTCGCGTCTCTTCAGTTTATTAACACTTTTCTTTGGTTGATTAAATGAAAGGCATTTAAGGGCATTTGTTTTTTGCAACGTAGTTACCGCCCGCGGTGCTCCAGCTTAATCCACGCCCACTCCTAAAAACTTTGGCCAAAGTACACAAAAATTACGGAGTTAAAAGTATCGCTGGAAAAAAGGGAACGTTATCTTAATTGCGGGTTACTTTTTTCCACCGGTCTGCCAGCTACCTGGTCGGAATAAAAGAGTCGTGGAGAGGGACGCCGGCGGAAAAAGTGAACCCAAATTTGTGTCCGTTGCTAGCACCAGGACACGCCCTAAATCACTGGCTTTTTATCAACTTCAACTTGAAACGAAATTCAAATGTTTCGCTCGTTTTTCTCGGCCTGCAAATGCGATTCGGCTCCGGCTGTTGCCCCTAACAACTGGGAAAATGAGGGACTGGGTGGCAAACTGGAGTGAAAAAAATGCTATTCACATACGCACACAGGGAAATAAATTATTTTCACAAAGCCCATGAAATCGTTTCAAACTTTAAGGCCAATTTTATTAATTATTAATATTTCTGTGTGAATATGTGGGGCTTATTATATAGAACATAGAAAAGTGATAATCGTTTTCATCTAGCATGAAAAATGGCTTCAAAATAATTTAAAAACATAAATTTATGGTAATAACATGTGTATGCTGTTTTTCTCAGGTATTTTTTTAAGTGCAGCTACACATACGCAAAAAAGAAACCTCTCCCTAGCCACTTTGCACTAAGTACTCACACAAAATTCCGTTTGAAGTTTTTGGGTGCCGGTGCTGGTGCTGGAGCTTGGTCTCCCGGTTTTCGGTGCTCGGCCATGAAAGAAGCACCTGTACAGTGGGCACCCAGCCCTCGACAACCGCCTCTTCTTCTGCTGCTATACTGCTACACTGCTACACTGCTACACGTGCACAGTCAGTGGGCCATCGCTGCTCGGCTTGTAAATTGTATCCGTTTCAGGCACATAAATTGTTGTCAACTTCCGTTGGCTGCGACAACGTCGCCGCCACTGACCACTTCTGTCCAGCGATTCACCTGCTCTACTCCGGCGTGGCTGCCCTGACCCCCAGGAACCCCTTTTCTCCAACTGGTTACACCAGCGTATGGCCAGCTTTGACTTGAGAGCATACGCCATAGCCATGGCGTTTGTCTTTCTCCCATTTTTAGAGTCCTCAGTTGGGGCATTGCGATTTTATCTCGGCATCTGTTGAGCTATATACATTCTTTTGGATGGCTTGCGAATGATATTATCATTTATTTATATTTCCTAAAAATATTATACATTCAGAAAAGCTTTATAAAAACAAAACGTATCAATGATTTTTACTATTTACTGCAATAAATTAAATGTTTTGTTTCCATATCTGTGCAACTGTGTAAAACCATAAATTCGAGCTAATTTATAACATGTTTAAATAGCATTATAACATGGTTATTGTAAGCCAAATATGTAGTGATAATGATGACTCCAATAATTACACATATTTACCTAACCTAGAGTGCTTAAGACTTCGGCACTCCAGTGACAAGATTTCCACCATGATTGGTTTTTTTTTCGCCCGTTAGTTCAGCTTGGGCCAACTTTTGCTGTCCATGTTTTTTTAGCTTGCTTTTGGCCTCGTTGGGCGTTTTTTGCGCTCTTTGCTGCTACTCGATGCAGCTTCCAACTCCAACGTAATTGAATTTTTAATCTCGTTTATAGTCAAGTGATCTCTGGCATACACTCCCGGTGTACAACTGCGCATATTTTACGTGCCCGGTGCTTTGGTAGCTTCTTTCTGCTAACTGCCGCCTTGTCCTGTTCCTGCTGCTGTTCCTCGTTTGGCTGCTCCGAATAACAGGGGTCAAATACACTGGGCAAATAAAGTTGGTAGCGGTGGGGGACGGTAGATTGCCTCATAATGAGTGCCCGTCGTTATGCTAAATAGTTGGACCAAAAAATGGTAACTTTTTCACCCAAACCGACCCGTTCCCCCCACAACTGGCAGGTTAATATGCACACCGAATTGCATATTCAACTTTTCGGATATATACGTATACGTAATAAAGTATATCTCAAACAATGCCCTGTCTGCGGGCGAGGCGACACAAAAGGACCTCAAACAAGTGCTTGCCCTTGAGTTATACAATGCCCTCGAAAAGTCCGCAATGCAAATGTTTTATGGAGTTAGGCGAAAATCCCACTACCTAACACTTCCTATCACTACACACCGGAATGTGTAGTTCGGTCTAAATTCGGTCTTGAGTGGGCTAAAAAATCCGGTAAGTGCGGCAAGCTATTTGCGGCGGAATCATGACGTGTCAAAGGCGAGTAACGTGTGCATCATTAACTGGCTTACGTGCCGACTGCTGCGTTCAATTAAGCTTTAATTATAACCACTCCCCGTCGGGAACCTTGTTGGCCACCTTCGGGTGCGACACAGTTTTCTCCTCCTAATTATCGAGTCACAGATTCACGATTCGATTACGCATGATGGCAGATTAGGAGCAAGGATTAGGGATATCCAGCAGGTATTCCTTGTGGAAAGTTAGTGGGACTTGGATTTTATTTTCGAATACTTTTACTAATATTAAATATAGATTTTTTCTTTTTCCGTTAAGTAGTTTTTACATACAGTTGACCCTCCAAGAGTCAGTGAATATATATTTGGCTAATAAGAGAGTTTATTAGCTGGAATTGTAGGGTTGCCAGGAGCTAACATTTCGTCCAGACCGAAACACTTGCAAATAATTATGCAAGTCGTCATGGCAATATATGCTGCAGTGCCCAGCCATTAGTAAACACGGTTCAAGCATTAATTAAATATTAACCAAAGCAGACATGGAGGCTTCGGTTGGCAATGTTGTTGGGTGAATCGGTCCTTGTTATGTCACTGTTATTGTTGCATTCGGCCAATGTTTGATTTTCATTAAAACCACTCAACCGAGTTGCTTATCTTAATTATGAGATTTTGCCATAATATTTGCATTAGATGGGAGCCAATGCAACTGCTAAACAGCAACTGCAACTGCATAATGCGGCAATGCATCTCAGCTGCTACAGTAAAACCACTCATTCTTCATCTAAACACTGCGAAAAAGTTCTCTGAAATATGCCTTCAAAGTAATATCCGTTATAGTATATTTACCATAAAATCAAATGCATAAGCTGGGAATATTTTTAGTTTTTCTTATCCAAATATGACTTTATACTTCACAATTAGAAATATATTATTTGTTCATTAATTGAGCTTTAGTAATATTAAATCTCCGGTGTACAAACTCCTCTGATTGACCGTCTGGGCCAGAGCAATGCAAATGTTTGTGGCTTTTGCTCGAACTTTGCTGGGCAAACGTTGCGTATACGTAATTTAGCATATTCAAGTGTAACAATGACCTGGCCGAAAGTGGAGTTTCTGCTACGGTCAAGGATTGCCAACACCCAGTTCTCCTGACGCCCATCGCCCATTGGCCAACGCCTGGCGTTGTGCTAAATTTTTTAACTGCAATAATTATACGGCAATTAGCCAAATGTTCAATAATGCAGCACCAGCTTCTGCCTCAGCATCGGTTCCATTTTCCATTTCCCAGTTTTCAGCTGCGCAGCCGTTACAAAATTTTTGACTGCACTCGGGTAAACTTCTAATTGCCATTAGCGCACTTTACTTTTTCCTGCATTTGCTGCTTCGATGGGCGTGGCTGGTGGGCTAGAATATGTGAGTGTGTGTGTGTGTGTGGGAGTGGATGAAAGTGGGTGGCCTACCAGCGTAGGGCAGTGAAAGTGGGCACAAAAAAGCGGGGGAGCTGCAGGTGAGCGCGTAATTAGACCGCGCCGTTAGCTGCCGCTTGGTTGGCTGGCTGTCTGTAATTTAGTACTAATGGCGCACTTAAAGTGCAGGCAATTATTGTAGACCTATGCGGACAAGGTGTGCACTTGCTCACAGAGCCCCATTCCCATTCTCATTCCAATCCCCCTGCCATTTCGCCCTCTGATCCGCTCCTTCAATATATATCCCTGTATCCCACTACAGATCCTGCCGCTTTTAGCACTCACAGTTCGCGCTCGAGTGGTTTCAATAACAGCGCCTAGTCGAGGAATTTCTATGTATTCGCTTGGCTCGCCTCTCAGTGTCTAGTCCTTTCTGTATTGCGTGTCCTGTGCGTTTCTGTGTGTGTGCGTGTGTGTTTGTGTGTGTGCGTGTGTATGTGGTTTACTGAAGAGTTGGCGGCTGAATGGACGGTTTTGCTGCGTTTTGGAGTGGCTCCTGATGCAGTTAATATGCCACCGGGCAAAATAACATCTCAACGGCGTAAGCCAGCAATGAAAATGGCGCGTTCTTACTCAAGTATCTGCGTATCTCTTCAGTATCTGTAGTGGATTATATCTCTACAGATTATTACGATACGCTTGTTCTAGTTTGTTTGCCGAGTCTGTACAGATTTGCTGGCTGGGCCTTTGACAAGGAAATGTTAACTTTCAGTCTAGTAAATTTAGGTATATATTCTGTATTTTCTTGATCTGCACTTGAAAAACTAACTTGTTTTCTTTAATTGGTATTTTTTAGAACTGTTAAATCACAGTAACTTGTGTTAAATTTCTAGCCCAACTACGCCGATAGAAATGTTAGTCATAAATTCAGCATTTCAGATGGCTCTTTTTGCAGCGAACTAGGATTTCAAACGTCGCCCAGTTAAGCTGTGAACAAAAAAATACACAGCGCATGTGAGGGGCCAAAAAAAAAAAAAAAGCAAAGAATCGAAAATCAAAACTTGTTTTTTGCCGCACTATGCCGGGTTTCGTTTCGTTTGCCACCCCGGACTGTCAGTCATATAAATCTTATTGAACAAAAGTTTGAAATACTAACACTTGCTGCCTGCAATAGACAGGATCGCGCCGTCGGGGGAAGATGGCTAGCAATTTACACGTACGTTGGATAGCAGACCCGACAATCAGTCCATAGCTGTGCT